CCCCTCTGCTTTCATGGGCCGCGGTCTCGGGGGGGGGGCCCTGAAAGCCGCGGCTGAGAGGCGTGACGACTGCAGAAAGTGCGTCAGACGCGCGGCCTCGCGGCTGGCTGGCCGACGGAGCGCGCCTCGGCCGGCGCCGGCGGAGAGCGCGGCGGCAGAGGCCCGCCCTCGCAGCCATCCGACTTGGGCGCTCGGCCTCGATGAGAGGAAAAGAGCATCGACTTCTGTTTCCCTCTCGCTCCCTCTCGCCCTCTGTCCCCAGTGGGCGGGCGGGGTGTCACGTGTGCAAGTGTCATCGCGGCTATCAACCGCAGATCCAAAGACATGTAAACTAAAGCATGTGATGGGGCGGCGGGTGGCGCTGGGTCAACTTGGAAGAAAAATGAGTCCTGATGAATAGTTTTCTTTCATGTTGTCCGAACTGCATTTCCGTTTCCTTTTGAGCTCAGTCGCCCATCAACAATTCATTTTGGTTGTGTCCACCCACCCGGGCCCCGTGTTTGGACGACCCCCTTTCTACGGGCTTGGTCTTTTAGCCCACCCGGAGGCGTTCAGGAGGGCAACGGGGCGTGGCAACGCGGAGAAGGGTGAGTTCGCAACCGAGCGCGGGGCGTGCGTGCCAGTGGCGAGCGACGGCCGCGACCCGATCCAGGCGCAGCGAGGGGAAAAGAGCATCGACCTCTTTGTCCTTCGCGCTCCCCTCCGTCCTCTGTCTGCGATGGGCGGGCGAGGTATCACATGTGTAACTGCTATATACGACAAGTGTGTATGTATAGAAACATCTGTATGAAACCTCTGGGGACGACCCTCTCTATTCCCAATGCCACCAGAAGGCGCCAAGACCACCTCCGCTCTTTCCTGGGATGGATGGTCAGGAAATTGTCTTGTCGCGATGGACATGGTGACGATGATGATGCTGATGATGACGATGACGATGATGACGATGATGATGATGATGATGATGACGATGATGACGATGATGATGATGATAATGATGATGTTGATGTTGATGATGATGATGTTGATGTTGATGTCAAGACTGATCATGCACCTGGTGATGATGACGATGATGATAGAGATGGCAATGCTGATGCTGCTGATGATGGTGATGATGGAGGTAATGATGGTCGTGGTGTCTGAGGTGGGTGTGGTGATGACGAGGACGAGGACGGACGAGGATGATGATCGTGATGATGATTTAAATTAGGATGATTATTGGAGTCGAGCGAGCGGCCAGCAGACCTAGCCTGGCATTCGCATGCAGGAAGACTTCGGGTTGCGGGGCGTGGTTTCGGCGGCCGTCGAGGCGGGGGGGGGGGGCGGGATGCGCCCGGCGCCGGCGAGGAGGCGCGCGAGGGGGCGCAGCAAAGCCCGCAGCCAGGCCAGACCCAACGGGGACCCCCCCAGGACCCGCCTGGCGGGAGCGCTCGAGGCGCGGCGCTCGCCGCGCCCCCCCCCCTCGAGGTGGAGCGTGGAGGAAGCGGCGCCGCGGGCGAGGGGGCGGCTCGCCGCCGAGTTGGGGGCGGTCGTTTCTCGCCGGCGCCTCCGCGGGCGCAGCTCCCCCCAGGGGGGCGAGCGGGCAACGCAGCGCACTGCCCCCGCCCTCAAGCCGACCGGGGGGGGGGGGGGCGCCAGGGGCCCGCGGGCGCCGCTCCGCCTCGTCAGCTGGCGCGCGCGGCTCGGGGCGCCGCGGGCGCGGGCGCGTCGGCGAGGGGCGATCCTGTCTTCGCCCGCGCCCCCGCGGGCGACCCTCCCACGCAGGCAGACTCGGGCGGAACAGTCGCGAGACGCCCGCGTGCGAATCAGCTCGCGGCCCGCTGGCCGGGCCGCGCGGATCGACGACTTCCGCGGGAAGCATGGCCGCGCATTATCATTTTGGTCATCCGCCAGCGGCAGCATCGGCATCGAATGGCGGGGGATCGCCGGGAACTCGAGAGGCCTTCTTCCCGAGGCGCCGCGCGCCGCGCGGGCGGCGATCGGCCGGTCCGGGCAGCGCCGCCGGGCCGCGAGCCGTCGGGGTGCCCCGCGGCGGGGCCCCCGGCGGCGCAGCGCGCAGAGAGGAGCGAGGCGTGCGCTGGCGGGGCTGTGGGCGCAGTGGAAGGCCGTCAAGCACCCGACTTAAAAACTTATCCCAGAGCTATTCTACGTCTTGGTTTTAGGCTGTTTCGCCCAGCTTCTTAGGTTTTTAGGTCTCCAGTGCTACAAACTAGCTCCCTGGAGGGTCAGGGAAGAAATCCCCTGGGCTCGCGGGGATGGATCGGAAGGCGGGGTGCTTTCCCCGAGGATCTCTCGGGCGGGCACCCAGATCGGGGGAGCGTAAGACCCGGGTTTGCCGGGACTCGGGTTCGCCACCGTTTTTTGACGACCGCGCCTCGGATTTTGACGAGGAGGAGGTTCGTGGGATGTCTGCAGCGGGAGGCCTCGTCAAAATGCAGGCTCGGCCTCGTCATTTTTTTGACGACCTCGTCGGGGATTTCCAAGTCCCCCGTACCCGGGTCTTACGTCTCCCCGACCAGACTCGGAGCTCGCGCGGGGCCCGCGCCTCGGCGCAGCGCGGGCGGACTTGCGCCGCGCCCTCGGCGCGAAGGAGGCCAGCGCGCCAGCGGGCGCCAGCGGGCGCCCGCGGGGCGGGGCAGCGCCGAGGCCACTCGGGGTCGGCGCCGGCGCCCCCCCGTCGGCGTCGCAGGGCCAGCGCCGGACTGCAGGGCGTTTCCGCAACCCGGCCCGGCAGCGAAGGGGCGCGCGGCAGCTGTTAAATGTCGGGCGTGTCCCCCTTACATGGGGATTTTCGACGAAAAATGCAAGATGCCCCAGAAATCCCCCAAGAAGGTCAAACATTTTCAAAAAATAGTGCCCATTTTTTATTTTTTTGATATTATTTTGTGTTTTTTTCCGTCGACAACCACCCTGTAGGGGGACAGGCCTGACTTAAGGCAACTGCGAGTGCTTCGAGGAGGCCACGGGGCACGCGGGGCCCGTGGTCGAGAGGGTCGCCAAGGAGTGCTCCGTGGGCAGACTCACGTCCTGGGAGGACCAGGAGGTCGTCGGCGCGCGTCGCCCTGTTCGCTGCGCCCTGGCTCGCGCGCGTCGCTAGTCGGCGGGAGCGTGCCTGGACGGGGGCAGGATCACCATCGACTGCCGCAGGTCGGACGTCGACGGGCGCGCGCAGATCGGCGAGCATGGCGCGGGGCGCCCTCGGCAACGCCGCGCGCCTGCTGCGGCGCGCCGCGGAGGGCGGAGAAGCCGAAGCGATGGCGTTGGATCTTAGGGGCGCCCTCCGCGCGCTGCCAACCCACGCGGGAAAGCGCCCGCGAGGCGCGGCGAGCGTGTTCGACGGCGAGCACGCGGTCTCTCGCACAGCGGCGTTCGTCGGCGAGGCGAGCTTTCTGGCGTTGGGCAGCGCGGCGGCTGATGGCGCGCGCAGTGCCCAGCCGACTTTCGAGCTGGAGCGCCTCCTGGGCGAGCGCTACGTCGGCGACCCCCCGGCGCTCGCAGTCGGCGCGACGGAGACGCGGGGACCGCGTCTCGCCGAGTGCCTCTTCTGCTTTCATGGGCCGCGGTCTCGGGGGGGGGGGCCCTGAAAGCCGCGGCTGAGAGGCATGACGACTGCAGAAAGTGCGACAGACGCGCGGCCTCGCGGCTGGCTGGCCGATGGAGCGCGCCTCGGCCGGCGCCGGCGGAGAGCGCGGCGGCAGAGGCCCGCCCTCGCAGCCATCCGACTTGGGCGCTCGGCCTCGATGAGAGGAAAATAGCATCGACCTCTGTTTCCCTCTCGCTCCCTCTCGCCCTCTGTCCCCAGTGGGCGGGCGGGGTGTCACGTGTGCAAGTGTCATCGTGGCTATCAACCGCAGATCCAAAGACATGTAAACTAAAGCATGTGATGGGGCGGCGGGTGGCGTTGGGTCAACTTGGAAGAAAAATGAGTCCTGATGAATAGTTTTCTTTCATGTTGTCCGAACTGCATTTCCGTTTCCTTTTGAGCTCAGTCGCCCATCAACAATTCATTTTGGTTGTGTCCACCCACCCGGGCCCCGTGTTTGGACGACCCCCTTTCTACGGGCTTGGTCTTTTAGCCCACCCGGAGGCGTTCAGGAGGGCAACGGGGCGTGGCAACGCGGAGAAGGGTGAGTTCGCAACCGAGCGCGGGGCGTGCGTGCCAGTGGCGAGCGACGGCCGCGACCCGATCCAGGCGCAGTGAGGGGAAAAGAGCATCGACCTCTTTGTCCTTCGCGCTCCCCTCCGTCCTCTGTCTGCGATGGGCGGGCGAGGTATCACATGTTTAACTGCTATATACGACAAGTGTGTATGTATAGAAACATCTGTATGCAACCTCTGGGGACGACCCTCTCTATTCCCAATGCCACCAGAAGGCGCCAAGACCATCTCCGCTTTTTCCTGGGATGGTCAGGAAATTGTCTTCTCGCGATGGACATGGTGACGATGATGATGCTGATGATGACGATGACGATGATGACGATGATGATGATGATGATGATGATGATGATGATGATGACGATGACGATGACGATGATGACGATGACGATGATGATGATGATGATGATGATGATGATGATGATGATGATGTTGATGATGATGATGTTGATGTTGATGTTGAGACTGATCATGCACCTGGTGATGATGACGATGATGATAGAGATGGCAATGCTGATGATGGTGATGATGGAGGTAATGATGGTCGTGGTGTCTGAGGTGGGTGTGGTGATGACGAGGACGAGGACGGACGAGGATGATGATCGTGATGATGACTTAAATTAGGATGATTATTGGATGAGGATGAGGGTGAGGATGGGGATGACGAGGAGGAGGAGGAGGATGTAACCAGGGCCCTTCTGCGCGCCTCCGCGTAGCCGCCTTGGCTTCGGGGTGGCTCGAGCACCACTCAGAACTGACATCTCATCCATGTTCGTGCAGTAGGTGCGCGCGTATGTTTCTTCCCACTGTCCCGAGCCTCTCGAGCAAGTAGTCGTGAAGTACGCAGCATGGACGCAGACCTCGACGAGGCCAAGGGCGCCAACGCCAAGGGCGACGATGTCCGGCTGGGCGATTCGAGCGGCGCCACGGCGCGGAGGCAAATGTCTGTCGGATGGTTGAGTGATCTGCTTACGACCTTCGCCGCCTTTACCATGTTTTTAGGTCCTGGACTTACCGCGGCTTTTTATATCGTCACGGTCGGGTACTACGAGAACAAGTTTAAGACGAAGCTCTTTTTCATCGTCATGCTGCTCGCCACGTACGGGCCTTTCCCGGTGGTCGCGGCGTTCCAGGCCGCCTTCGACGCCCATTTCGACAGGGTGTTCACCACGCAGGTGACCTACGCCACCCGGATTTTCAGCGGCTTGATGTGCATTCAATTTTTGGTGGTAGTGTGGATGTTCGTGCCCGCGACGGAAGGTGCGGTGGTCTGCATTGGCTTCGCTCTAGGAGCGAGTTGCTGCGTGGTCCAGGCCTCGGGGCACCAGATGATATCCGCCATCGACCCCACGAAACTCGTCTTTTCGGAGCTGGGAGGTCAGATTGGCTCGGTGGTCCCCATCGTGATGATCTCGCTCCTCGACTTCAAGCCGAGCGCGACCCCGCCAGAGTTCCGGCGGTTCATCGCGACGCCTGTCTTTGTCAGCTTCTTTGCCATGGTCGTGCTGATGGTGCTGCACTTGAGAGGCTTCTTTCACAAGGCTCTTGCGACGAGATCTCTACATATCTCTTGCCCAAGGACTGGCCTATCCTGGGCCCTGGAGCGGTGTATATGGTCAGGGCCCCGCCCCCCCCATTGCTAATAAGATCGCCCCTTTTCCCCCGACGGGTCCCCCCCATTGGGGTTTGGGGTGTTGCTGCTGTGGAACCCTCGTCGGGGTCTATTCTTCTGGGCTGGCGCTGCGTGGGCTGAACCCTCGTCGTTGTCGTCGTCCTCGTCCTCGTCGTCATCGTCGTCGTCGTCCTCGTCCTCGTCGTCGTCGTAGTCGTCCTCGTCGTCGTCGTCGTCGTGCAAGGACGCACTGCTGTAAGCAGTCGCATCGAGCAGAGGCCCAGAGCCAGCCCCCCCTCCTCTCCCCCCCCCTTCCGCCCAATGTCGGAACGCATACGTTCGTGAACCCACGGAGGTCTGGACCACTTCCCCAGGGCCGCTTTCTCATCTTGAGTCTTTTCTTGATGGTCCAGGTGCCCGTCGTGGAGGAGGGGCCCCAGAGTCCGCAAACAGCCCAAACCTGGCTGCTTGATTTTTTTCGGAGCGTCGAATCTCTGGGTATGGATCTCGGCAACCTAGAGGCCTACCTCGGACTGGCGCGCGACCTCGACGAGGACGACCTGCCAGAGGCCGCCGAGGAGGCAGAGCGCGTGCGGCAGACCTCGCACCAGGCGGCGGTGACGAGGCTCCTCGACGAGCCCATCGAGTTCAGCCACAGGGCCTTGTCGAGGCAGGCCACGCCGGAGGCGGAGCCCTCGTCGCCGGTGGTGCTTGGGGGCATCGGTGATAAGGCTTCGGGCTGCGCACGGACAGCCCGCCCAAGTCGGCCTTGGGCTGCCTCAGCAGGCCCCCCGAGTGTTTTTGGGGTCTCCCATGTGTTCTGACTCCGGCTAGGCTTTGCGTGGCCAGATTCTTCCACACCTTTAAGTACTTTCTCGGCCTCCGGCCGAGGGCGGCAAGGCATCGTGAAGCCTGTCAGCCACATCATCCTCTACTAGGCCCCCCGAGTAGCCCCGGCTGGCCTCAACATGCCCCCAGAGGAGCCCAGGGCGGTCTCAACACCCCAGCGCCGCCTCTGGCGGCGTCCGCGCCTGCCTCAACGGGGCGCTCCGCGCCTGCCTGTTGGGGCTGCCACCTGAGAGGGCTGCCTTAGCACAGCCCGAGGCATTGTTATCGGGGACATCGGGCATCGAGAGAACGCCCAACCGCACGGGTCGACTGAGGAGCTCTGCGCTGGCTCCCTCGACATTGGCATTCGAGTGTGCCGGTGTCGGCCCCCGTCGGTTCCGCGAATCGGCGTGCGTTTGGCTGGACACAATCGGTGGTTTCTGGACGTCGATGAGCTACCGCGCCAGGGTGCACTTGGAAAGCGGTGCCGTGCGCACGTGGAGTGCCCCTGGCAGCTCTCACTGAAGGGCGTTTTGCTCAAGGGAATCCTATCCAGCCCACGAGGAATCGTCAGGTGGACTCGACGGCTCGGGCTTGAGCTCGGGCTTGAGCTCGGTCAGAGTTCGGTTCAGGCTCAAGCCTTGGGCCGAGCTTGGGCTCAGGCTCGGACCCGGGCTTCAGCTGGAGCTCACGCTTGGGCTTTGGCTCCGGCTCTGGCTCGTGCTCGGGCTCCGACGCGGGCTCGCGCGGGGGATCGCGTCGCCGCCCAAGTCCAGCAGTGGCGAAGCATTCTTGTCTGCGTAAAGGCCCACCAAACATTGCTCTAAGAACCTGCTTGTGGTTTGCACGATTTGTTATAGTATTACCATCGGCTGTATGTTCTAGTACATCGGCTGTATGTTCTAGTACATCGGCTGTATGTTCTAAGAAGATTGTTAAGGTTATTCGAACACTTGCTGTTTCAGAAAATCTCGTGGTAGGCCTATAGGAATGCCAGGACGGTCGGTCCCTGCTCAAGATCTGGGGCCTCTGGCATCCCACCCCGCCCAGGGAGCGTACGGCATCTTGAAGTCTGAGGCCGTCTCGCCGATCTGTCGACGAGGCTTCTCGCCGATTCGAGCTCGATGTTTCCCTCCTCGGTGCCGGTACGGTACTCCAGCAATGCGACGGGGGGACAGTGTTTGTCAGCATCCAGTTTTTGAACATGATGTGAATGTCGTTCTGGATCCGGTTCCTGGCATGATGGTTGCATACACCATTCCGCGCAGGCAAGATGGGCGGGATTGCAGCAGCGCTTCCTACCTCCGCAACCATTTGCCACAGAGACCCCACAGAGGGCCGTGCTGGCAGCTCACCGCGAATTCTATGCCAGCGTTGAGCCTAGGAAAGGAGTCATTGCCGATCCCCCCCAGGTGCGCACCTTCTCCACCACGCGGCGCTCCGTGCCTGGCTGGGTGTACAGGTGGCAGGCCTGGAAGGGCTTCACGACGCTGCTCATGGCGTTCATCTCGGCGGTTCGAAGGTGGGGCCCTGGGGGATGGGGGGCCCCAGGGTCGATAGGGGCCTCAGGCAGCGAAGGTTCGGCTTGGGATTCCGTTGCCTCCCCTCAGGGGCCACATCCCTCAGGGCCCCACTTTCGAACCGCCGAGCATGGTGTCCCTGGCCGGCTTCTACGGGGACCCCGCGTACACGCAGTTTCTAGCGTCGATCAAGCTGGCGTCGGACTTTGTGGGTAGGGCGTCCTCCCTGCCACTGGTCAGGTCGTCGTACTTCGCCTCTGGGCCGTGGCATCGGTTCCTCGCGGCGACGGTGGTGGCTCGGGTGCTCATGGTCGCCGTCATGGTCGCCCAGCTCGGGGCCGACGTCGTGCCGAAGCCAGTCTTCATCGCCTTGTGGTGCAGCTTCAGCATGCTCGACCGCATGGTGGCGACGTTCGCCGACGTGACCTGCGGCGCGTTCGTGGAGGTGAGGGACCGCAGGTTCGTGTCCCGGCTGACCTTCCTCTTCGGGTTCGGGGGCTTGATCCTGGGCCTCTGCGTCTCCGCCCTCGTCGCGGTGCCGATGGAGCGCCACATGGACAAGATGGGCAAGGTCGGTGCCACCCAACACACACCTGCAGCATGCTGCGGGTTCCAGCAAGGGCCCCGCCCTCGAGGATCCAGGGAGTTGGCGCCTCTCCCCCGGCCGGAGGCCGGCAGGGGGGTCGACGGGAGCAGGCGGAGGCAACAATGCAACAATACAACGGGGGCCGCTCCGCCGGCGGAGGCTGGCAGAAGGGCGGCGGAGGCCAGCGGAAGCAGAGGTGCGGCCCGAAGAGGTGGCAACAGTTTTGGGGGTTCAGGGGGATGCTGGGATCCTCCTCCTCCTCCTCCTCCTCCTCTTCCTCCTCCTCCTCCTCCTTCTCCTCCTCCTCCTCCTCCTCGTTCCCCTCCTCCTCCTCCTCCTCCTCCTCCTCCTCCTCCGCCTCCTCCTTATTCTCATCCTCCTCCTCCTCCTCCTCCTCCTCCTCCTCCGCCGAAGGAGGGGTTCAGGGGGATGCTGTGTGCGCCAGGCCCCCCCAGGTGCGGGGCGCGCTCGGAACCCTTCACGCATGTGCTCGGCGGCGTTTTGCTATCGGGCCACGCTGCCTGGGTTGATTGCGATCTGCCGTTCGACGGTTGTGATATGTGCTCGTTCCGACCGTGCGCCTCCAAGGGGGGGGGGGCAGTAGTACTCTGGTAAATCCTCGTGCGTTCCACAAAGGTGCTGCTGGACATGGGCAGCCCGCCGGCGGGCTCCGACCTGAGCCTGCCGTCGGTGAGGCCCGCCTTCCGGGCCGCCGCGAGGCTGCACGCGTCCCTGCAGCCGCGGTGAAGGGGCGGCGCTTCCGGGCAACGGCTGTGCAGGCCGGCGTGCCTCATCGGGGGCGGAAAAGAGGGGGGTGATGACTAGGGGGGGGTGGATATCATGGCGTGGGCCATGATGTTTCCCCAGATCTCATGGCGCCTCTTCTTGTTTCATTACGTCCCTGGCCCCCCCGCTGGGTCGCGCACATGCCGCCGGTCATGATTCGCACCCCCCCCTCTTGGACACCCCCCTCTTGGCCGCTCCCGACTTCTGCGCCTCCTTGAGCGCGCAGCGACGGCTGAGGGCGACATCCACAATAGACCACACTGTCCAAGATTCGGCGGCGCGCCGGGTGGGGAAGTGGCAGGCAGGCCTTCTGAGAAGCCCTCCGTGGCTTCGGAGAGAAGGCTCGTCTCAGAAGACCGTGAGGCCTTCTGAGCCTTCTGAAGGCCCGCCCCCTCTGCCTTCCCCCCTGGCCGCGCCGCCGAACAATAGATCGCAATGGAAGGCTGGTATGAGCCAGCCCTGCATGTGCACGTCCGTGCGCCCCTTGGGCGCTTACCTGGAGGACCGAAGTCGGTACGGCAAGAATGGCGACGGGGAGCGAGAGCAGTTCCTGTCCCGAACGGGGCTCGCTGTCGGTGGGAGCCGCGGCCATTGCCCGTCTGAGGCAGCAGGTGGCCTTCGCTTAGCAGCCGCCGCTGTCGGTCTTGGACAGCATGTGAGCAACGCAGGGGCTACGTTGCAGCTTCGGGGGACCCAGGCTGTCCTGTGAACGGCAGCCTGTTCTTGTACTCCAACGTGGATTCGACAACGATTCGACACCGATTCGAAATGGATTCGACGCCTTCGGGTTGGGTTCGGCGCGAGTTCGACACGGACGTTTGGCGCGACCGGACAGACGAGGTCCCCCGAAGATGCAACATAACAGAAAGACGGGGCCGATTGCGGGGACATTGGCGCGGAAGTTGCCCGCGTACGGTCGCGCGAGAGCACCATCGCTTCCAGTTCAGGGTGCCGCGCTGGCTTCCCGCGTGAGGCACCGCGTAAGGTGGCTTGTGTCGCCCTGCTTGTGTGATGCCCGTCTCTTGTTCTCGCTTATGTGTTGCTGGGCATCCTACCCTTTTCGGGCGTACAAGGTCTAGGCCTCCTAGATGGGGTCGGAGTGGATGGGTTCGGAGGATCGCGCCGCATCGCCGATGCATCGGCGATGCGGCTCGATGCTGAGCCCAATGATCTCCACGCCGACTTCGCCGACACATCGCCGACGTCGCAGATACATCGACGTCGTATCTGCGATGCATCGCCGATGCGCCGCGATCCTCCGACCCCATCTACTTGGATCCTTGTCTTTCGTAGGTAGCCGATCATGAGAGCCTCGTATACCTTCGAAACTCCGTCTGTCGAGTGCGTGTCCGTCGATTGGTGTGTGGTATATGTGTGTCAGTCTATGAGATAGCGTGGATCCAGCGTCGATGAGCGTCGACGAGCGTCGATTCGCAGGCACGGATACGTTTCGCCGGGGTTGGTTTCCATCAGGCTTCGTTTCGCCGGGCTTCGTTTCGCCGGGCTTGCTTTCGCTGGGGTTGGCTTTCGCCGGGCTTCGTTTCGCCGGGCTTCCTTTCGCAGGGGTTGGCTTCCGCCAGGTTTCGTTTCGCCGGGGTTGGCTTTCGCCCGGGTTGGCTTTCGCCGGGGTTGGCTTTCGCCGGGGCTGGCTTTCGCTGGGGTCGGCTTTCGCTGGGTTTCGTCTCGCTGGGGTCGGTTCGCTGGGGGTTGGGCGCGGACTCCAAAGGCCAGGTCGGGTCGGGTCGGGCGGGCGGACCCTGACGGGCGGGACGGGTCGGGTCGGGTCGGGCGGACCCTCACGGGCGGGTCGGGTCGGGCGGGCGGGACCTTAAAGTGTGGGGCACGCTCGAGTGATCACGCGTGAACCCAGCGGGCGGGTCGGGTACGGCGGTCGGACCCTGACAGGCGGGACGGGTTTGGTCGGGCGGGCGGAGCCTAACGAACCCCACCAAAAGCCCACCCGGGCGAAAGCGAGCCCGGGCGAAAGCCAACTGGGCGAAAGCGAGCCCGGGCGAAAGCCAACCGGGCGAAAGCGAACATGGGCGAGACGAACCGGGGGACACGAACCGGGCCAAAGCCATTCCAGGCGAAAAGCATCCAGGAGGGTTCGCAAGAGGCAACAAGAAGGCATGGCCAGGCTCCCATGAGCTGCCGCCGAGCACCTGGGAGGAGTCCCTCTGGGCATTCTGCCCGCTTCGGGCGTCCAGGGCCAGCCTTTTGCCTCCTCCGCGCCAGGTGGGGGGCGGGGCGTCCTCGTGCCCGGCGGCCTTCGGGGCCTCGCCGCCCGCGCCCCCCGTGCGCGGGGCTCGCTGCCCTCCCGCCGCGGGGCTCGCCCCGCCTTCGTGCCCCGAGGCGCGCAGGACTCGGCTGGGGGTCGGAGCAGACGGGGCCAGAGGGTCGCGCCGCCTCGCCGATGCATCGCCGAGTGGGGTTCGATGCGGAGCCCGGTCTTCTCCACGCCGATGTCGGCGATGCATCGGCGATGCGGCGCGACCCTCTGGCCCCGCCGTTACTCGGACCCCATCAGGGAGCCCCCCGTATCTTGGGGCGCGATCGTCTTGCTGCACGTCCGCCTCTGCGTCGGGAGTGGCTGCTTCGCCTCCGCCCCGCCGGGCCGCGCGCCCCGCGCCCAGCGGCAGAGAGGGGGGGGGGAGAAGGGAGGCGAGGGGGGGAGAGGGGGAGAGGGGAGGGGAGAGGAGGGGAGGAGGAGGGGGAGGGGAGGGGAGGGGAGGGGGAGGGGAGGGGGAGGGGAGGGGGAGGGAGGGGAGAGGGGGGAGAGGAGGGAGGGGGAGAGACAAGTTAGGTGCGCTCGCGTCAACATCTGACATCCTACCCCTCCCTCCCATCCCTTACCATGGCGCTGATTTTTTCTATCCGCAGAGGCGTGTCGTAGCGGACCTGTGGCTCCGCGCGCGTGTGCGTAGTGGGTGGTGGTGCGCGTGCGTGCGTGCGTGTGTGCGTGGTTGTGGTTGTTGTGGTGGTTGTGTGTATGTGTGTGTGTGTGTGTGCGTGCGTGCGTGCGTGCGTGCGTGCGTGCGTGCGTGCGTGCGTGCGTGCGTGCGTGCGTGCGTGCGTGCGTGCGCGTGTGCTGTGGTGTGACGTGGTGTGGCGTCTTGGTGGTGTGGTGGTGGGCCAGGTGCGTACGTGCGTGATGGCGGTGGTGGTGGTGGCGGTGGTTGTGTGTGTGTGTGTGTGTGTGTCTGTGTGTGTGCGTGTGTGTGTGCATGTGTATGTGTGTGTGTGTGAGTGTGTGTGTGCGTGCGTGCGTGCGTGCGTGCGTGCGTGTGTGTCTGTGTGCGCGCGTGTGATGTGTTGTGACGCGGTGTAGCGTGGTGGTGGTGGGTGGGGTAGTGCGGTGGTGGTGGCGGTGCGCGGTGGTGGTGCGCGTGCGTGCGTGCGTGCGTTGGTGGGTGGAAGTGGCGGTGGGTGTGCGTGCGGCGGGGCGGGGCGTGGTGCGGCGCGGTGGTGGCGGGCGGATGGGCGCGCGAGAAAGAGGCCCGCGCTGGGGCGAGAACGCCATCCTGAACGACGGAGGCAAAACACCGATCCGAAAATGAGGCCCACGCTGCAGCGGGAGCACGATTCGGAACGATTCGGGAGCAGAAATGAGGCCGGCGCCTCAGCGAGAGCAGCATTTTGAAAAACAACGCAGGCAAAAACCCAACTCCCGGGAATCCTGCGTGTAAAAAAACAGTACGCGGGGGGGGGGGTCGAATATTCCCTGGACGCCATCAGGGGAAGAGGGAGAGTAGTACTCATATGGAGTAATTGTAGAGGGGAGGGGGAAGCCCCCGGCGAGCTCGGAAGGCCCCGCCGGCCCGGCGTTGGCACCGCCGTGCCCCCGCGGCGCGGGTCGGCGCAGGCCGAGCGGGGCCCCAGGCCCTGAGACTTCGGCGCTGCCAGGTTCCCCCGCGAGGGCTTGCCTGAGGGGTTCTCCCTCGGTGAGAGGTTGGCGCCTCGGGTGGCCACGTTGTCCGTTCCTTGGAGGTTCCCCGGGGTCCCCGGGTTTACCCAGGTTCCTCGGGCTCCTTGGATTCCTCGGGCTCCTCGGGTTCCTTGAGTTCCTCGGGTTCTCCGGGTTCCCCGGGTTCCTCAGGTTCGGGTTTTTGCTGGTTCTTCGGGTTCCTCGGGCTTTTCTGGTTTGCCCCAAGCAGTGCTAAGCATTGCCAAGCAATGCAAACCCATTCTAAGCAATGCCAAGCAATGCCATTCATGCCACCCGATACGCCCAGCGATGTGCCCATGCAGTAGGCTTCCCCTGATTGTGGTCGCGCCGGGTTCATGTGTCTCAGAGGGTTCATGTGTCCCAGCGGGGCATTCGAAGAACGATGCAGCTCGAAAAAGTGATGCAGAGAGGAGTGGTCCAGTGTCCAGTGCGCCGGTCTCGATGTTTCTTTTGGTATCACTTCTCCAGCGACGCCGGATATCAGGGGACCTCCGAGGGCATGTGCATTTCAATTCCCATTCGGGCGTCGTTCTGCAGTTTCGACCCACATGGCCCGTTGCTCATCGGGCCCCGGGACCATCGATCGGGCAGTGGAAGAGAACGCCCACCCGCACAAGTCGACTGCCCCCCACCTGGGACCGATTTTGGAACGGACCTGGGTCGGGCGGGAGCGCCGTTGTCTCAGCCGGCCCTCCTCCGACCGTCCCACTCCCCGCCGCCCCCTCTCGTCGGAGTGTTAGGGGAGGGGGGGGGCGTCGGGCATGTAGAGAACGCCCACCCAGACAAGCCGAGGGGGGGAAGGGGAAGGGACGGGGGAGGGGAAGAGGGCCGAGTGGGAAGGGCGAAGGGGGACGAGGAAGAAGCGGAGGATGAGGCAGGGACAACAGGGGCACGGGCTGAGGCAAGGGCAATGCGGAAACGGCATCAGCAAATCTGGAGGGAGGAGGAGGAGGAGGAGGAGGAGGAGGAGGAGGAGGAGGAGGAGGAGGAGGAGGAGGAGGAGGAGGAGGAGGAGGAGGAGGAGGAGGAGAGGAGGAGGAGGAGGAGGAGGAGGAGGAGAGGAGGAGGAGGAGGAGGAGAGGGAGGGAGGGAGGGAGGGAGGGAGGGAGGGAGGGAGGGAGGGAGGGAGGGAGGGAGGGGGAGGGAGGGAGGGAGGGAGGGAGGGAGGGGGAGGGAGGGAGGGAGGGAGGGAGGGAGGGAGGGAGGGAGGAGGAGGAGGAGGAGAAGGAGGAGGAAAAGGAGGAGGAGGAGGACGTGGAGGAGGAGGAGGAGGAGGAGGAGGAGTGAGGAGTGAGGCGAAGGAGGAGGAGGAGGAGGAGGAGGAGGAGGAGGAGGAGGAGAAGGGAGGGAAGGCTACGAGTGAGGGAGGCGAAGGAGAAGGAAGAGTTGGAGAAGGAGGAGGAGGATATGGATGTGGATGGGTAAGGGCGAAGGAATGATGTTGCTGATGATGATGTTGATGATGCTGATGCTGACGCTGACGCTGATGCTGATGCTGATGATGTTGCTAATGTTGATGATGATGCTGATGATGATGATGATGATGCTGCTGCTGCTGCTGCTGATGATGATGATGATGATGATGGTGGTGGTGGTGGTGGTGATGATGATGATGGTGATGATGATGAAGATGCTGATGGTGATTTTTTATCATTATTTATTATTATTCGTATGATGATGACGATGATGATGATGCTGCTGCTGATGATGATGATGATGATGATGATGATGCTGATGATGATGATGATGCTGATGATGATGATGAAGCTGATGATGATGATGATGATGCTGATGATGATGATGATGCTGATTATGTTGATGATGGTGATGGTGGTGATGGTGATGGTGATGGTGATGGTCATGATGATGATGATGCTGATGATGATGATGATGATGATGATGATGATGATGATGATGATGCTGATTGTGATGATGATGATGATGATGATGCTGATGATGATGATGATGATGATGATGATGATGATGATGATGATGATGATGATGATGATGATGATGATTGTGATGATGGTGGTGATGATGATGATGAGGAGGAGGAGGAGGAGGAAGAGGAGGAGGAGGGAACGGAGGAGGATGTGGATGGGAAAGGGCGAAGGAATGAGGAGGAGGAGGAGAAGGAGGAGGAGGACGAGGCCAAGGCCCCTTTGGACCAGATCCCACCAGAGAGATGCCCCCCTGCCGCCGCCCCATGTAGGCCTTTGGGGGTGCCCCTCGGGGTCCCCCCAAAGGCGTCTCTTCACTGTCGGCCCCTGCTGGAGCGGCCTGTTGTGCGACGAAGCACGGCGCCCATGCGCGCGCGACGAGAGATTGAAAGGTGGGGTGCCTGCTCTACGCTCGGAGTGCAGTATTGGACGGGCACCGCAAGAATCAAGGCTACACTTCGGTCGAGCTGAGAGGGGGTATTGCTGGTGTCTCAGATCTTGCGTGGCCTGCTCTGAGCGCCCATCTGCCCTGAAGCGGCTTCCCCGACATCGGCTCGGCGTATACCGAACGGTTCCCCCTGGCGCGGGGAGACCTGCTCCAGAACTACCTGCCCCCGGGAGGTCGTCTGCTCCCGAGTGCACGCCGGCCGTTGAAAGCAGGTATGTCTGGATTCCCAGATCCCAGTCTACTTCAAGCGCCTTCCTACCTCAATAATCGGCATGGTCTTGATGTGTTGTTCTCTGGGAGGGGGCCTGAGCCCAATCTGCTTTCTCCGCCTGCCTACTGCATGTGTTTACCTACTTCATCCGACCGACCTGAAAGTACTTCGGGCAGTGTCCGGTGTGATGTCAAAACATGCCTGCGAACGAAACGTGATGAGTCTCCTCCAAAAAACGCACTCTCCAACTCGGGTCCCGATTGCCATTCGATTCAATCGACAGCGAGCGATGTACATGTTGTATATTGAGTCATGGGTCGGCGAGTAGCGAGTGCACGTCTTAACGGAAATTGTGTTCGTGCGTGCGCACGCGCGTGCATGAATGCCTGCGTGTGCGCGCGGCGGAGTCCATTATTCGCGCGCGCGGTAGTCTCGGATGGGGTGGGGTGAGGTGGGGTGTGCATGGGGTGGGTGGGTGGGTGGGTGTCGGGGGGGAAGGGGGGTGGGCGGGCAAGCGACTCACCGGTCGTGTGTGTGTGTGTGTGTGTGTGGGTGTGTGTGTGGGTGTGTTGGAGGGGGTGGGGGGGGGGGATTGACCGACCTCGTAGCATGGTCAGAGGCTGGGAGGAGGCGGAGGAGTAAGATGGAGGGGAGGAGCAGGAGTAGAAGAAGGAGGAGGATGAGGAGGAGGCGGAGGAGGGGGAGGGGGAGGATGCGGACGAGGTGAAAGAGGCCGAGGAGGCGGAGGAGGAGGAGCATCGGGAGGACAGAGGGGACGGAGGACCAGGACGAGGAGGAGGAGGAGGAGGAGGAGGAGGAGGAGGAGGGAGGAGTGTGAGGAGGAGGGCGACGAAGAGGAGGGGTGGGTAAGGGGATGGTGGAAGACATCCGAGGAGAGCACGAGGCTCAGGGTGTCGCACGGTCAGTTGTGGGGGGCGTCGCCCTGGCGGTTCCAGTCTGTCCCGCATTCCTCGATTACCGTGTGGTCCCAACAGCGCCCAAGTGTTCTGATTTCAGACATTGCGTGTTTCAAAATGCCCTTGTTGGTGGTTGACAAGCAGGCGAGGAGAAGGCGGTCGAGGGGGAGGAGTAGAAGGATGAGGGAGGGAGGGAGGAGAGGGAGGAGAGGGAGGAGAGCGAACGGAGATGGAACGGAGAGAGGCAGGAGGAGGAAAAGAAGAGGAGAATGGGGCCATGAGGACGGTGGTCGTCGGTGAGAGCGCAAGCGTGCGTGCGGACATGTTTTCCGCCGGAGTTGAAGCGTGTGTGTCCATCCTCCAGTTTCTTCTGCCTCTGCGTGTGTCCGTCCTCCAGTTTCTTCTGCCTCTGCCGCCTATCGTGCCTCTTCTGCTCTACCCCTCTCCCTCTTCTGTTCTCTCCTCCTTCTTCCTTTTCGCCTGCCCCGCGCTGTCTATCTCCCCCTCCTCCTCTCTCGTCCTGCCTCTCCATCCCCTGGAGATTACCTGGAGGATTACCTGGAGGATGCCTAGATTCTCTCTTCTTTGCTGTGCCTTGCCATCTCCTGGAGATTACCTAATTAGAGGGTGCCGTGGTCGGCGGTTCGGATAATGACGCGTCGATGTGGCCCAGATCTTGTGCCCCAGAAGGAGCCCCAAGCCCTCCTTGTTCCCAGCTGCCGCCCCTTCAGAACACCGCCGTCCTCTAGAAAGTATGCTTGCGCTCACAATACTGTATATATATACATATACACATGCTGTATTTGCAATGTCTGCATATATATTCATATACACACGTGGCTGTGTATATATATATATACATATTTGTATATATATATACATGTTATACTTGCAACGTGTGCAGGGATTCCCCAAACAGTGCTTGCACTTAGGGACCTTATACGTGTCTCCTGAGGCTCTGGGACTTGCTGCCGACTCCGCCATCCTGTGATGCCCCCTTCGCCGCTCGTCGCCGCCCCTCGTCGGGGCCCGGTTGCTAGTTCCGCCGCCTCGTTGTGGCCCCGTCGCCGCCCGTCGCCGCCCCTCGTCTTGGCCTCGCTGCCGGTTCCGCCGCCTTGTGGCGGCCTCGTTGCCGCCCGTCGCCGCTGTCCGTCGCCGCCGTAATCTGTTCCCAGTCTCGCCGTCGCCGCTTTTGGCCGCCCGTCTCCGCCGTCGCCGCCGGGCATCGCTTTGCCTTGCTTTGCCTTGCTTTGCAATGCTTGGCATTGCTTTGACATTGCTTCGCATCGCCATAGCTTTGCATTGCTTTGCATCGCGTTTCACTGCTTTGCGCTGCTTTGCACCGCTTTGCATTGCTTTGCGTTGCATTGCGTTGCATTGCGTTGCATTGGTTTGCATCGTTCTGCATTGTTTTGCATCGCTTT